TATTTGTACATGTTTTTAGCATACTTATTATTTTGGCCTCCTATAAGACCTCTTGGAAGAAAATATGAATTTTGGTTTAAACAAAGGTAGTAGAATTTCATAGGTCTTGAACTGTAACCAGCCTTACCAAAGCCCTACCTTAGAGGAAAGTAGAAATTGGCCCAGAAAATAAACAAGAATTTCCCATCTTCTGTCACTCTCCCCTGCTGTCACTGCATCACACAATTCCTGGAAATACAAATAGTACCTCATAGTGTTTTTCAACACAGGTGGAAAAGATAGATATAGGTATTCTAGAGTTTCTTGTAATATCATCAAAAGCCCAACTTTCCTGGCACATGAGCACACTCTCTGCTTGGGTCTGGCTGTGGTCAATGCATTGTCATTGGCTGGTGCTCTCTGGTGTTATCATCTACTACAACTGTAGTGAAAAGAGATGCTGGCAAGGAAAGAACTTGATCTAAGGAAGGTTGAAGACAATTTGTCAGCACCTCTAATTGAGCTTCTGAATTGCTGTGGCTTCTCCATCTGAGACCCCAGTCCACCCGACCCCAGCTTTTCTGTGCCCATATGTCTGTCTATCTGTCCTTTATTCATTCCCTTGCTGTCCTGGTCAGGTTGGTTCCTGGAACTGTACTAGACATAGCACTCATGTTTGTGTTCATATATACACATTTAAATCATGGAATTTCTTTTCCTTTATCCCATTTCTCAGCCAGGTCCTGGGTCTCTACTACCTATTTAAGTCCTACAAACTGCTCTGCCTGGACTTCAGAGAGCTGGAGTTTGAAGGCTATAATTTGAATCAACAGAACTCATAGAGTATAAACTTTACATTGATGTCTCACTGTTCCTTTGACTTCAACTAGAGGCTGTCATTATTCTAGACATAAAAGAAAACTTAGGCAATCCTATAACTTTTTATTATCACACTCAGGTACAAAAAGTCCCATGATTATCTAAAGTCACAAAAGAATTTCAACTTCTGAGAAAGGGTCCAGGGTGTGCAATTTTGTTTCCTTGGGACTTGGCTGAGAACATGGTAAGAATTGAGTAAATATGTGCTGAACGAATAGATGGTAAGTAAACAAATGAATGTAAGAGCAATGATATTCTCAATGCACCTTTATTGAACAATGGGGAGTATGCCTGGTCCCAGTGCTGATGAAGGTGATGCAACTCTACCATTTCCTTCTCCATTTCTGCAGTCTAGTTTACAGAACTTGAACCTTCAGTTCCTCCTTCACTCTAATTATTTAACAAAGTCTGAGTCTACTTGGGATATGGGGGGACTGAAGATGATATCCCCCAATTTCTACATTATCCAACAGAGGACATTAAGACTAAAATAAGTGAAATAACTTGTTACAGGTCAGAGGGTAAATTTATAGCAGGAAATCGAGAGAGAGAGAGAGAGAGAGAGAGAGAGAGAGAGAGAGAGAGAGAGAGAGAGAGAGCCAAAGTCTATATGTTGACAGCTTGGTTCCCAGAATGGCAATATTGAAAGGCAGATCTGTAGGAAGTTGGGTCTAGTAAGATATCTTTTGGTCATCAAAAATGTGCCACCAAAAGGGATTGTGAGACCCAGGCATCTTCTTGGTTCACAGTGCAAGTGATTTTCTCCAACACATTCTCTACACTGTTACCAGAGACCCAAAATTTAGAGCTCATGCATCTAGAGATTCCAGGCATGAACTCAATTTACCTCTTCTGTTTATAAATTACTGCAGATATTTCACTATAGCAATGCAAAGATGACAGTATACTGATTTTTTTCAAACATAGATTTCTCCTAGTACTTTGACTCTTTTTTCATTCTGTCCCTTGGTCAGATTCTCCTCAGGGTGTTTCTCACAATGATTACTACCCACTATTCTTACCTTTCCCTCATATTCGACTCACTTCCTAACTTATCGCCTTGGGTAGTCCTGGGGCTTCTGGCCCATCTTCTATTATTGCCATATGTAGCTGGGAATCTTAGAGAGTCTTATTAATAAAATCAAACCTGAGGCCAGTTATTGGCGTGAATGCTGGAAGATCAGAGAAGCAGAACAAGCCACAGCTACCTCACCTTGCCAATTCCTCAACTGATCCTGTTTCCTCAGACTGGAAGCCTCTGAGTCCTCATCCAGAATGAATCTCAGCTGAACTGCTGCTCCAAAGCCTGAATGCTTAATCAGCCAAAATGCTTCTAGTTTTTGGTCTCCACCCTTATATATCTTCCTGGTTTTGCCATCACTCCCTGGGATTAAAGGCTCACTTCTTGGGATTAAAGGCATGTGTCACCATGCCTGGCTATTTCCAATGTGATCTTGAACTCACAGAGATCCAGAGGGATTTCTGCCTCTGGAATGCTAGAATTAAAGGCGTGTGCTACCACTGCCTATCCTCTATGTTTAATATTGTGGCTGTCCTGTTCTCTGACCCCAGATAAGTTTATTAGGGTACACAATATTTTGGGGAACACAGTACTACCACAGCCATATCTTCTTAATGCATAGAGTTGAGTTTTATCCTCACGAAATAAGGTCTTCAATAGCCTTTCTTTCTTAACAAAGCTTGAGATCATGGCCCATCCTGATCTGTTCATCCCGTATTTCTGTCCACTCATGATGGACATTCCCATTGAATTGAATGGTCATTCTACAAACTCATGCTTAAATTGTTCTAAATTCTTTCTGTTCTTCACATACCTATTCAGAAGCCCCTTCTTCCATGAAGTCATTCTTTACTCAAGTTACAACCAAAAATGATCTGTCCCTTTTTTTACCTAGGCATGGCACCAAGTGTCTATCCCTTTACATAGATTCCTTTGTTCTTATCTTATTTATCCTACTTGACTGAGGTCTTTTGAGGTCAGGGTTGATGTTTTTTTCTTTTTTTTTTTTTAATGTTTTTTTCTTACACATTGGATTCCTCACTTAACCCAAAGCAGTTTTTTGTTTGTTTGTTTTTACATCTCATTCCTGTAACTTAACATGGAGGTGTTAGGTGAGCAGCTGACAGGTTTATGTCACATTGTCTACATCTTCATTAGAAAATGACAAATTGTTGCACTAACTTTTCTTGAACAAATGTGTAGTTACCCCAGATAGGGACCAAATGATAAACCAAAGCAATTATTCTACCAAAGTTCAACTTAGCAAACCAATGAGTTTATTGAGCCTACTACAGAGCATTATTGAGAGGATACTTAAAAGAGTGAGAGTTACCCCAAACAGCTACGTTATCACAAAATTTCATCCCATCATGGATGATGATCTCATGGAAACTCCATTCTTATACATATCTTTAGCATCTCCCAAGATCATGTGTAAGTTGAGGCAGGAGAGATTAATGGTTGGAATCCAAGATGAGGGTCCTGTGACCCTAGATTCCTTCCTACTATGAAGTATCAGTAGATCTAATAGCATCATTATTGACCAATCTACTTCTATATTGTTCTGCTGAAATACTTGTCATGGCTACTAGACAAAGGTAAACCCTATTTTCAAATAACCATGAAATGATCATGTTATACCCAGAAGAAAAGTGCCATACTACAAATATAATTCAGAAAAAGCATAGAACTTACTCCTCCAAGAAACTATAAACAGGGAAAAGAAAAGTAATGAGAGAAAGAGATCTGAGTCATATACACTCTGTTTTTCTTCCTCATTCATCTTTGTGTCTCTCACTGCTTCTAGTTCAGGGTACTAAATAAAGACACTCAAGAAAAGCTCAACTGAATAAAACTGATATACTGTAAGTTCCTACTACACTAATGGGTTTTAGATGGACTAGCAAATCTTATAGACTGACCATAATGGCATAAAACATTATCATAAACATCTAAAGGGCCCATATATCCCTCCCACAACACTTGTGAAATTCTTAGTTTCAGCTATCAAGTCTTTGAAAGTATCATAGTTACAACAATTCTAAAAGTGTGATCTTGGAACAATTATCATGGCCATCACCTGGGAACCTGTTGTCAATGCTGAGGTCTCACTTCAAACATGAATAATAAGCTCTGAGGTGGTGTTACAAGTGCACATCTGAATCCAGAGAGCATCTCCTGATATTTCCAGGGTCTTGTGTGCCAGAATAATGAATCTGACCAGGGACGTATAGATAATGATAGAAATAGAGGCAGTTTATTAAGAAAGTTAAAAAGATATTCCTGAGATCTATAAAAGGGGGCTAATGATCTGGAAAAAAAAGACAGGCACTCATAAGCACTGTACCATATAAATTCCGATCATTCACAGGTTATTTACATAGCACCAATTTTCTCCTGTGTAATATCATGGGCTTTTCTTGTACATGCTCTTTTTGATATGTGAGGCCAGATGGGAAAGGATTTTTTTCCAACTTAATTTATCTGGTCAGGTAGCAAAGGATTTTTCTTTCAATTTAATTTATCTGTTAATCTTAATACCTGTCTCCAAATTTCTATTCTTCTTCTGCAATAGGTGTCATCTATCCATGGGTCAATATGTCCTTCAGGTACTTTTAATGTCAAGTTTAAGAGAAATTGAACTAGAGTACCACACCTGGACTCCTCAGTACAGATGGCTCCCATGTGAAATTGACATTTAGGAGGACAATGTGTTCTTTCCAGGATGCTCTCAGTCACTAATGAAAAATGTGATAACTTGACATGAATAGGAATTCATTTGACTTTTAAGAATAATTAAACAAGATATGACATCCAGTCTCCTGCAAGAGTAATTGTCCATATACAAATAATAGTAATAATTAAGAGGAAAAAAGACAGCCATTCATCAAGAGAAAAAGAAACTACTTATGTTAGGAAATGAAATAAATGCATTTAGTGAAACATTTCACTGATGTCAAAAGACCGCTGAAGTAGAAGTTTAACATATTTTTTTTTTAAAAAAAAAAAACCTATCTACTTGTGCTGAATTTAACATTTAAGTGAATCAGAATATATGTAACTCTTCAAAGACTCAAGAAAAGCTATTGTTTTCCGGTTTGATGAATTGTCAACTGGCCAGTACATGACCTCTAGTAATGACCACAGGGTACATGAAGATACACTGAAGTCATTATGTGTGTTTTTTAAGGTCTTTGAGATCATCAGGGCTGCATGAAAAGTACAAATAACTGACCTAGAGGTCATTGTGATTGACTTCATATGTTTGCTTCATCTGCCAGTCCACATAATGTGGGCAAGTTTTCTCTGCCCAACTAAAACACCACAGAGATTTCTTGATCCCCAGTCGATGGGGAAACAGAACTGGTTCTTTCCATTTTCTCACCAGGAAGGAATGGAATGTATTTCCCCAGATAGATTGCCACATGTCTGTGAAAAAAGAGCCGAAGGTGTTTCCGGAACCTCTCACCAACAAAGGCATAGATGACTGGGTTGATACAGCAATGGGTGTAGGCGATCACCTCAGTCACTTGCATGGCCAGGTCCAGGTGTTTGCTCTGTTGACAGCTGTTCTCCAAAAATGTACTGTGAAAAGCAGAGAGAAGGAGAACCAGGTTGTATGGGGTCCAAAAAATAAAAAAGACTATCATAACAACAAAAATAAGCCGGATGGCCTTGTCCTTTTTTTTATTGGGGCATCTCAGCAGAGTTTTAATGATTCCTGAATAGCAGATAACCATAATGAGGAGAGGGAGAGCTAAACCAAAAATATTCATTCTCAGAGCATGGAAACGCTTCCAGCTGTCTTCTTCACCTTCTGGGTAACGAGGTCCACAGAAAGGCTCTCCAAAGCTGTCTTGGGACTCATGGAAGATAAATTCAGGTAATGCTGCCAGCCCTGCCAGTCCCCAGGTGATGATGCTGGTGATGGTAGCAAAAGTCACGGTCCGGGCTCTAAGGGCAAACACAGCATGGACAATGGCCAGGTACCTGTCAATCGTCAGCAGGATGATGAAAAATATCTCGCTGTACAAGGCAAGGTAATAAAACCCAGAGATTAGTTTACACATGTGATGGCCAAAACGCCACTCATTCCACAAAACATAGTGAATCCAGAATGGAATGGTGAAGAGAGAGAGCAGGTCAGAAACTGCCAAGTTGAGCAGGTAAATATTAGTCATAATTTGGAGCTTCCTGTACTTTATGAGGATCAACACAACCACCATGTTGCCCAGGAGGCCAATGATGAACACCAGGGAGTACAATGGAGGCAGGAGCCATGACCCCAGCTGTCTGATGCTGACTTTTTCACAGGGCGTTGCCCACTCATATTCATAGGGTGTGGTCCCAAAGCTTTCAACCACAGTATTGATTTCATCTATGTAGAATGCCATTCCACAATTCTCTGTAATAAAAAAAAATTTAAAAAACAATTAACTGTGTGAAACATACCAGTTGATTATTCATTAAAGAAACTCAAGTCAGAATTTGTTTAGTAAATATTTCAAAAGATATATCTGAAATGCTCTGAGTAGGGATCAGGAAGCAAAACTCTGCATTTCTCAAAGTCACCATGATTCATGATAGAAAAAGAAACAGAAATGCTTTGGCTTGTGGTAAAGAATGGAATATTAATTTATAAAAGTATTCGAGGAGGAAATTCAAAGGTTTGAACTGAGGAATGAAAATAATAATGATGATGATATGAACCTTTCATAATTGTAATTATTATATAAATGCATAAAATATGCACACTGCATGTCTTAATGCATTTTAAAATTTCTATTTTATGTATTATGACATTCAAAATCATTATCTTCATATAAATTGAAAAATGTTTATGGTACTAGTAATGATAACCACTCCTCTTAGGCCCTTTGATGAACATGTCTAAAATATTTAATGGGGAAACTGATGCTTACTGAAACAGTAAATTATCTAAAATTCTCTAATAAGTAAAATAAATATAAATGTTTGATAGACTTTATATATACAGTCCTCCTGTCAGTAATTTAAATATAGTCATTTTAAATTTAGCTATAATGATTTAGCTATTATTATTATTATTATTATTATTATTATTATTATGAATATTGAGCATTGAATTTGGTACCAGTTTAAGTGGCATTTTCCTTGGTCACTCTCCTTTTCTCTGCCTCTTGGTAGTGCTAAGATAAGCAATGATATTCCAAGAGCTTTTCTTTCACTAAAGAGCTGATGAGATGGGGGCGGGGGTATGAGAAGGGGATTTTCTAAAACAACTTATTTTTTAGACCAGGAGATGAAGGACCAGTGCCTGCTTTAGTCCTACAGACTATTGACTCCAGCAGAAAAGAAAGAAAAGCAGACAAGGCAGAAATACCATGAAGGACAGCAAATCCATACTCTGCTTACTCAAAAGGAGGTCCACAAACCTTCCCCTGGCTAAGAAGTAGGAACAAGTGTGAAGACATGAATAAGGTGAGTTGGTTACCTAACTTACTTCTCTGAGGATTGTTTGGACAGGCTGTCTTCCAATATCACTCCTACTTGCTAGGTGCAGTGATTTGGCCCCAGATTTACTAAGAGCTGATGGGTCTCACACTGGAAGACAAGAACACTCACTAGCAAAGGCCTCTTCCTTATTTGGGTGGTACCTGGAAGACTCAAAAGGAAACTGCCACGAAAGCAACTTGCTTTTTCATTTTTCCCTGTTCAGTTATATCTGTGTTTGAAGCCTCAAGATAGGTTCTATCAGTTGAGAAGGGACAGTATCTGAACTAGACAAGTTTTGGAGTGTCTCCAGACATCAGAGACACACTGAGAAATTCCAGGGCCAACAATTTACAACCTTTTGAAGATGCTGCTTAGTTGTTTAAACCCATAGTTTTGTCATATTCTTTTTGATTATTTTGTTTTAGGGCAAACTATTATCTTATAAAATTAATTTATAATTTTTATAATTATATAATTTATATATAATATAAAATTAATTTAGGTAATTTTTTACTTGGCAAATAGTTTTCATCTAAAATACAGTCTTATGTGCATTAATTTTTGTATTTTCTTAACTATTTATTGATTACTCTCTGAATTATTTTCTTTCCCTAAATTTAAGCTTTGAAATAATGATTTAAGAAATCTCCAAAGTAGACAAAATCATTTTTCAACAAAAGAACATGCATATATCATAACCTTTAAAAACTGCTTTTCCATTAAAATCACATGCTTTTTATTTTTGCATGTGTAAGTGCTTATATTAAGATGAATTTTAAACTTTTAGCAATCCCAATTTCTAATAAAGATGCAGGAAGAAAGTAATTTTAAATTGTGTGCTATATATCAACAATTTACCATGACAATCAGTCATATTTATTAATAGATCCAAATACATGTTCTTTTGGTAGAATTTATAATTTATATTTAGGAATGATGACTTTGTACTTGGGTTTTTATAACTTTTTATTTTAAATTACATAAAAAGTACATTTACAAACTTTTCAATTTAAATTTACCTAGTTTGTTTACTTTTAACAACTATGTTAGATTTTGTATGTAAGCAGAGTATACAAACATAGTCAGTACTTTAACATATCTCCTCACCAAAGGAGAACTCCAAAAGTTGATATACTCGATATGTGGAAAAATAATACACATTGTAAGTTAAATATCTAATAGGTAAGTTCATTCAATCCAGAATGGCCTAGAGCCTAGGTAAAATATATGTTAATAATTTAAGGATATTTTTACTTTTATCTTACATGCAAATTTATTTGTCAAATGTATTTAAGTCATGTGAATTAAAAAGTATTTGAGCTCATCTGCCAGTTTTAGTTTATGTGCATGGCACTCACCTACATCTGCGGTGCAAACAACACAAAGCATAAGCATGATATAGATGTAACAAACATGTACACATACATATGAAAATACACAAGATACATTTTTCTTTTTCATACATACTTATGTGCTATTATTTTATATGTGTGTACACCTTCATGAGTTTATGTGTACCACATATGTTCAGGAACCTGAGGAGGCCAGAAAAGAACATCAGGTCCCCTGGAACTACAGTTATAGGTAGTTGTTACCTGCCACATGGGTGCTGGAAACCAAACCCAGGCCTTCTGCAAGAGCAATAGGCACTATTAAATGCTGAGCCATATCTCCAGTCCCATAAAATATGTTTTTAAGAACCTCAAAGATTTTAAGGTTTTCAATGGATTTATCATGTCAGTTCTTTTGACTGTTAATCTGATTATTTTCCCCATAGCTCTAAGCAATCTTTAATTTTAACTGTGTTCTTTTAAAGGTCTGATTTTTTTTCAGCTGAAACAAAGTATAAAATGTATTGCAGTTCACAACCTGAGCATAAATTTTAAATGCCTACTCTAAAATAACAATTGAAACAAAGTACAGAAACTATACAAACCACTCACCTAGTCATCTACATCATTATCAAACACTGTGTATTTAGTACATGATTGTATGTGCTATGTTTTTAAAGTAAATTTGTAATTCGTTTGTTTGTTTGTTTATAAAGTTCTGGAGACTGAATCTAATACATTCAGTGTTAGGCAAATACCGCGACACAGAGCTACATCCTCAACTCTGTAATAGGCCTCTGCAGGACTGGTAACACAATAGATTTTTTTGCACAGCATCTCTGTTCAGACCAGCAGTACACTGTGCTATGGTGTTATAAAAGCGGTGGCATCACTAAATGATAGGAATTTTCAGACCCCTCATCATCCTTTGGGACCACAGTTGAACATTATGTCATCACTGACTGAAACATCAATGTGCCAGGCATGACTACATAGTTTGGTTAATTTTTAACTATTTTATTTATTTATTTTATTTTATTGATATTTTGCTTGCATGTATGTCTGTGTAAGATTGTCAGATCTCCTGGAACTGGAGTTACAGACAGTTGTGAACTGCTAAATGGGTGCTAGGATTTGAACCTGGGTCTTCTGGAAGAGTAGCCAGTGCTCTTAACTGCTGAACCATCTCTCCAGGCCCAACTACAAAGTTTGTTAAAGACCCTTTTGAAATAATTTTCAAAATAACCTCCAAGACAGAACAAGATGGTTCATTTTCTCCACAAAAGCACATCCTCAAACTATACCATTTACCTTACCCACAATGTACCTTATCTTTCTGACACATGAACAAACCTGTTTCCATTTTAGTTAAAAGTATGAATTAGAGTTAGAATTCAATCCAAACAGAATGGTCTTCCTCCAAGAAAGGAGTAACTCTGCTTTTCCTCTTATTTCTTAAAGACAAGATGTAAGTCTACCATGAGAAGAGAACATTATGTACCTAAAGATTTTAATATTTTTATACTCAAGAATGGGAAATTAAGGAGCTCGACACAAATTATTGAGTTCTGTGATCATTCAGAATTCAGGTCATAGAGCATGATAAGTACTCTACCACTGAGCTACATCTTTATTCAAGATGAATAATTCTAATTCATACTCAGAATGAATTTCCAATGAAATTTTTATGCATTTAAACACATAATTACTTAGTATATACATGAATATATTTATATGCTAATAATATACATACATACACACAATAGATTACATTTTTATGATGATCTTATAAGTCAGTATTAATAAACACTAACTATCTGGTATAATGCTTTGGGAATAATGCCATTCTCCATGGAAGGATAGGAAAGGGGAAAGCAAGAAGAAAATGGAAATATATTGCAAAATATTTTCTCACTCTACCTAATATTATCTTTAAATCACTATACACCACCACTCTCTTGGAAGCAAGAGGGCTTCTGGAAGCTATTTCTTCCACCTACCTGGAATAATATATCCATTTTTCCTTTCCTAGAGCTCTGACAGTCTACACGGACATATATTCTAATGGAACATCTGTTGAATTTTAGTATTTCTTGTCTAAAAGAGAACAAAAAGCAGAAACAATACCTGGTGATTTTTGCTAAGCTCTTTATGAGTCCAGTAGTAGCTTAGGTCTCACTGACGATAAAGGAAGATAACGTTCGATCACATACACCAGTCAGGTAGTAAACAAACACAGCTTCCTGTTTTAAACAGGCTAGCTTCTCAGGCTTTGCAAAATTTCAGAAAGATATCAACTTGTTACAGTTCTTCCTTTTTGTTATTTACTGTGCATACTCAGTTCTCAGTAGAGTTATCTGGTTTGGACACTGCTAACATTCAGCAGCTATATTGCAGGCTCTTTACCCATTTGGCACTGCTCATTTTTGATATGAAATGAGGGTGACAACTTCCCAATAAAAATTGCTTTGACCCATGAGCAGGCTGGCAGAAGAACAACATGGGGATTTCCCCATCAGGGAAAGATGAGAACAGCAAATTTGCTGGGAGCAACTGAAGATGATGAGGGCAAGCACATCAGTAAAGGTTTTGGCAATTCATGAAGACATGAATATACATTTCAGCTGTCGTTCTATAGTTGCATGACCTCAGGGTAATCACTGAGCCAGCCTTGCTGTACCCTAGTTTTCTCCTCTATAACTGCAATAGATATTTATGTCCTAGAACTGCCAGGAAGTCAATTAAGACAAACTTAGCTTACAGATTGATGAAAGTTAGGATCTGTTAATGAAATCCAAAATGTTTCTCACCTGATAGTCACAAGAATGCTAAGTCAGACACAGAGATTTGCAATTAATTATTAAAGGCACTAAGATAGGCCAAAGTGACGTGGCTCTAGATCTGGAACATTCTAACTCTCCACAATTATGAAGTTCTAACCAGTCAGTCTTGTAGATAGAGGCTTTTTTTCTGGGAACTTCAGTTTATAGCAGTAAGAGCTTATACTTTATTACTGAATGACTAGACTCAGAACTCATCATTTGTGTGTGTGTGTGTGTGTGTGTGTGTGTGTGTGTGTGTGTGTGTGTGTGTGTGTACACATGTGAGGGTGCTTATGCACACGTTTATGTTTATGCATGAAGGCTAGAGATTGATGTCCTGTGTCTTCTTCAGTTGCTCTCCACCTTACTTTTTCTGACAGGGATTTTTTTTCTGGACCTGGAGTTCACATGTTTAGCTAGACTGACTGTCTAGTGAGCTCTAGGGATCTGCCTGCCTCTGCCTCCCTAATGCTGGGATTACAGGTATATGCCACCATGCTTGGCTTTTTATATTGGTGCTGAAGATCCAAACTCAGGTCCTCACATTTACATGACAAGCACTTTGCCAGCTGAGCCATTTCCCCAGCCTCTCAGTCTCATCTTTACCACTCAATAATGACATGAGCTTAGAACTATGAAACCTCTGTGTGCTGCAGCTCTTTGTTAGAATGACACATGTGTGCTTTGCAGCCATGATTCATATTTTTCATTATTCATGAGAAATAAATGAGTTGGGACTACATGCTAACCTGTGTGTATCCATTGATTCATGCCATAGGTTTAAATTCTAGTATAACGTACTGTGTTCTAAATGAATGTATGGAACACCACA